TCGCTTTATTTTCGTTGCTCAATATAATGTTTTGCTTTATATTATTAATTTATTTATTATTTCTCAAAACATCAACGTAGAATTTCAAGAGCCCATTTTTTGGGAATTACTTGCATAGATTCTTAAATAACAAAGAACGTATTTCATAACGGAAGATTAGTGGACAAGAATGACAAATATCGGGCAAGTGATGAACACACGGAGACCATTTTTGCCCTAAGCGAGGTTTGATCTAAGACAACACGCTAGGTATCAGCACTGCTACAGGGGTCTGCTGATTAATTGATATTAAAACTTCTCGATGGTTTTCAGTTCACAATAAATTTAAGTAAACGTAAATTTATAAAAGTAATGTTGATTTTTAGGGAAATAGGCCCTTTTGAAGATCACAACGTGGATTGGAGTATAATATTAAAATGTAACTTAAGAAAAAGAGTGTGAATGTGTGAATTACATTCATATGGCTTGGGATAGGGATCAATGGCGAGATTTTGTGAACACTGTAATGAGCTTTGGTGATCCATCAAAACGTGAGGAATTTCCTGACTGGCTTCAGACGGTCTCTACCACAGGGAATTGGTTAATGCCATTTCTAGAAGTCTGGTATACATTCCGTTGATCTGTATTCTATTATCCACATCGATGTACATAGATCGCTTTTGAATTGTAACGGCTGGTTACGATTGCCTAGCAACCAGACTACACAAGCAGAGAGATACTGCGAGAAAAACATATTTCGCCAATAAACATTGTGATTATAATATTCCCGTAATACGAGGGTGATTTTGTTAGATAATGTCCACCATTTTATGACTGCTGTAAATTTGTGAGAGTATTGTATATCTGGTGCAGCAATGTTTCGGAAGTGACCAAAGGTCGTTAAAGTGCATTCGAATCACGAGTACTTCATGTATATTTCATGCTTTCCATGTTCCAGTCTTACGTTTTTATCGCGTCATAAATCGTGCCGATTCCACATAAAATGTACTTAATTTCTGATTAACATTAGATTATATGAAATTCACTTTACACTAGTTGAAATACAGAATCCTGCGTGCAGTATCAGCAATCAACCCACTACAAACTCATCTTATTACTTCATAATACGCAAAGGTCCGCTACATCTGTTGTTCAGCAGATAAACTATTTTCGATTTCGTCCAGTATAATTTCACAGTTGTAAATGTAGCTTACGTTCTGTAGCCGTCAAAGAATATCAGTAGGGAATAGACGTTTCAGATATATGAAACTCAAATCGAACCTTTTTTTATAAATTTGGGTAAATGTACTGATACAGGATATAAAACAATACGAGGGTGATTTTGTTAGATAATGTCCACCATTTTATGACTGCTGTAAATTTGTGAGAGTATTGTATATCTGGTGCAGCAATGTTTCGGAAGTGACCAAAGGTCGTTAAAGTGCATTCGAATCACGAGTACTTCATGTATATTTCATGCTTTCCATGTTCCAGTCTTACGTTTTTATCGCGTCATAAATCGTGCCGATTCCACATAAAATGTACTTAATTTCTGATTAACATTAGATTATATGAAATTCACTTTACACTAGTTGAAATACAGAATCCTGCGTGCAGTATCAGCAATCAACCCACTACAAACTCATCTTATTACTTCATAATACGCAAAGGTCCGCTACATCTGTTGTTCAGCAGATAAACTATTTTCGATTTCGTCCAGTATAATTTCACAGTTGTAAATGTAGCTTACGTTCTGTAGCCGTCAAAGAATATCAGTAGGGAATAGACGTTTCAGATGCAGAGTAACCCACATGGAAAAAAAAAACATTCGTATTAATTATTCACACCTCAAAAGTTCGCACGGCCTCGTTGATATAACATTTCTTTCGAGGGCATTTCGTGATGAACGCCAGACATTATGTTTCTGGGATGGAGGAGTGAGAGCAGAACACATTCTTTACCTCTGCACCAGGCGGAGGTGAGTGGTCACCTTTACGCTCCGGCTGCTTTAATCCCAGGTAAAACATACGGTAGCGAAGATAAAATTATTTGGCGCTGCTGGGGAATCGAACCCCGGTCGGTAATGTCACGTTACTTTCTCGTACCATGAGTCACTTATGAATATGAGTCACCTTTACGAAGATGCCATAATGCAGCATTTTTCGTTCTCACAACTGTACAAACACTGATGAGAATATTATCGTTGATTTCAGTAGTTGTGAAGTATGAGAAGTTCTTTAGCACAAATAACAGCTAGCTATCAGGACACTGCTAATGCAAAAAGACTGTTATTGCTGCTGAAAACGAAAATAAGAAAATGCAGTCGGAGACGCCACTTAGAAAACTTGCCAATCGAAGGTACTTACCGTCTCTCTCTCCTGTGTGCATATTTGTAAAACTTGGTTAGCGAAGCTGTCTCCGACATCGTGTGAAGTGCGCACCTGTTAACGTAGTTTTAGAACTATCGACCATAAAACATACATATGCCAAGATAATATTGCTATAATTTTTTAAACGTCATATTTATAATGTGCATTAATCTTACGCTAGAAGACATTCCTACACGTCCTGTGTGTGCTTTGTCATAAAGTACAGAGTGCATGGGGAGAGTCCTGGTTATAATATTTAACGACGTTGCATCAGATATTAAAGAATCTAACGTAGTATGATTAATTTTATTATAAATGTGGATTGGGAAGGTGTGGTTTTTATATGTCCCTACAAACTTTGAAAATAAGAAAATCTATCGGTAGTACGCGTCCGAGATACAAACCGGGTACCCATCAGTTCCAGTGGGGTGTCACACATATGAGAGATTTCGTGTCGTTCGGCGATTTGTTGCTGATTGTTGCATGCCGGGAGTGGGCATGTAGATCTGAACTGAAGTCAATAAAAGAGTCCTCGTATTAGAAGGAAATTGTATAAAGAAACTAGATTTTTGTCACTTTAAACTAAATGTTTGTATACAGACAAATTAGAAATGTAATACCCTGTGCGTAAGCAAGTAGAAGGATAGCGGGGGAAAGACAAGACGAATCTACACACATTCTAGACAACTAGCACCACGCTCCGGCCGCTCTCTCCCTGGCCAGAGAGGACCAAGAACCGCTGTGGGGTGATAGTAACGCAGGTAGACACGAAGCTTTCGGAGAAACACTGTCTCCATCTTCAGGGCTTAAAAAGACCAACACCGACATCTTAACCGCCTTCAGAACCTTAGACCTCATGTAGATCTGGGTCAGGCAGCAAAGAGAGAAATTTCTGTCACAAGATGAAAACTTTATTGACGAAGATGTCCCGGCTTATGACATTCAGGGAAGTTCAAAATTTCTAATTTTGCCTGACCCGTCTCAAAGTATGAACGTTGCAGGACTTATGTTTTGTTCTGTACGCCAGTATTGAAAAATTCATAAGATGTCGTTCTGTGAGCGTGAACTTTGAATTAGATGACAACAAGTTGTGATGGGGGTGGAAGGGTAGCTTATTGTGGTGGTACGATGGGCTACGGGGTGAGGGGTATGTGTCTAAAGTCGTTTCGAAAAATAAATCACCACGCTGGTAAAAGAGAAAAGAAAAAAATTCTCTGCGTGTTTATTATTAGCAGGAAGTGTAGCCTGATATTACTTTTCCGATATTAGACAGACACGTATTAAGAAGACGGTAGGTCATTTTGAAATAAACCTCACTTTCCCCAAGTACGTTGTACTCAAATATACCATTTGTTTTATGTGTTTTCCTTATGAGTTAATTTAATACAAAACTTATCCATTGCTTAAAAGAAAAATAACATCAGACACACTGATTTATTCTCTACATAAAGTATAAAAACTTACAGCAAGAGTAACAAAACAAAAACTGTTTCCTGTTGCATTTCGTAATTTTTCTGAGATATTTCATGCGTACAGTTACCCCTGTTTCCAAGCCCCAAGTCATGATTGTGAATAGGGAGCTTTGTGCACTTTGGAAGTGGAGTGGTCAGCCTCATGGAATCGCTTTACCCCCTGGGAAAAAGTCCTCGGTTCGAATTATATTGACAAGTTTGGTAAAAAAACAGAATTGTGTGGACGCCGTGACGAAATCGAACCAGGTTCGTCCAGCCTGAAGCCGGTCACTACAGGGCCACTGACTAAACTGCTAAGGCTCACTAATGCCCTCCAAAAAATAAGAGAATACGTAAAGAATGCTTATAGGTTTGTCAGAATTTTCTGTTAATTGAAATATGTATCAGTTTCACAGGATACTAATGTAACAGATTGCTTCAGAAGCTGGTAGTTGCTTAGGTAGTCAATTTATCGAACTTTTATTGGACACGAAGGGCCATGACTTTCTTCACAAATGCCCGCTACTGGACTGTTTTCTCAGACAGTCCACATTCCAATATTTTCTTATTTTAATATTATTCTTCCAAACATGTCTGGGTACAATTTCTGGCATTTCACTAAATACTATGTAAACTTTTATCATGTTACTTATCGATCTCATATTATTTTATTTGATTGTCGTACCAAAATCACAAATTATGAAGCTCCTCATTATGCAACTTTCTCCAGCCTCCGAGTAATATATCCCTCTCATGCCCAAATATTCTCCTAAGCACCCTTCCCTCAAACGCCCTCAATCTGTATTCTTCTCTGATTTGGAGACACTAAGTTTTAGACCGATACAAAACAACAGGTAAATTTTATTTTTAATTTTTTTATGTATTATGTGTAATCCAATACAGGACATGAATCCTCAGTACAAGAATTTAAGACGAAAAGAATTATCGAACTTTTAACATTATTTACTGTTTGAGAGCTATTTAATAGGCTTAGTCTGTTTTGATAATGTTCTCTGTGACACGTGTATCAATTTAATTTTTTAAAGTAAATTCCTCGTAATCTGCGCACGTCTTTAGAGCATTTTAGTAAAATCTGTTTCCAAACGAGTAAACTATTTCAACTTTCATCCCCCGACGTCTTATACCCGCCGGAGTATTCCAGAGGTATACGCGAGGTCACAGAGTTCCGCTTTTGTTTCAGAGTCTCAACACTCGGGGACCGTCGACGAAGAACGAGACGAGGGTGACGATGAAGCTTATGACACCCGTTGCACCGTCTGCAACAAGGAGTACCCTGACACAGACCAGTGAGTACCTCGATAACGACCGTTGCTTCACCTGGCGCGACAGGATAAATACGGAAAATATATACCGGGTGGCCCACGAAAACTCTAAAATCCATGAAAATGTCGTTTTAGAAGACGATGTTGATCTTCTGGGTTTTAACACCGTGTGGACTTGCAGGTAGTAACATTTCGCGGGGGGGAGGGGAACAGCCCGGAAGACCAACATAGATATCTTCATCGCCGTGAGAACCTGAAATTTCACTTTCTTTTTCGATTACTGATTATCTTGTGAGCGAATCTATAATGATTACATTTCCATCGTCGACTTCTGATTTATCAAAGAAAGAAACGAAATCATGTAGTCAAGCAATGACATTCATGTCTAGGTGTTGCTGGAAATTCTGGTGTCCCCGCGTACAGATTGTGAGTAGTGTCCTGTCCCCTAAAGTATCAACCAGCCAGCGAGACGAAGCTTCCCAGAGCCTTGTACCATACTTGCAGGTGTTCAGAAGACTACTTGAGCAACTGAAAACGATACAGGGTATTTTAATAGACACATTACTTTTCTCTCAGCAAGAGCCAAAACAAAAGAAGACAGTTGACAGTGCTGATCGCCTAGCAGAAATGTGATCGCAGCAGCCATGTTGGAGGTCGTAAAGATGGCGTTTTATGGTGTAGGAACTCAGAAGAGTGCAATCGTTACGGCAGATCCAGAGGTTTACTGACAGTAACGTAAAGTAACGTATGCCTGACGAAAGACTTATAATTAACGTCGATTGAATCATATATTTATCCCACGTGCATACATTTATGACCTTGAAACGTCGTCAAAATAAAGAAATTTAGATTAATGACACTTCGCCAGCTGCTGAAGTTATTCAATGCTCGAGAGGACTGCTAACAGTTGATAACGGTGTAGTGAGCTCTTTCAAGATGATGTCCTGGCACTAACGTAGGACTGACCAATCCCACGACTAACTAACTTCGGGACAGTGGGTAACGGGAGCTGAGATTTGAATCGTATTTGTTCCCAATGTAAGTGTACAGCAGGATTTGAGGTTTTGTTGTCATTTCGAATTACAAGGATCGGGCATATAAAAAGTGCATACAGAGTGTGGGATTTTAGGTTTTCACTTCTACCAGACTACATGACGCAAGAACCCAAAAGACAGCTTTCTCGATGCATACAGAACTTTGGTATGGAAACCGCCTTTAATGTGGCAGCTCAATAGACCGAAAACGAGGTAGATGAATAGAGTATGGAAGGTTTGCAATGGAGGGCTTACGTACTAGCGGTGTTGAAACTTTGAGTTCTTCTAGCACAGAATTAACTGACGTAGTACCTAATGCGTTCTCTCATATTAGACTCCTTAACCGCCAAAATAAGAAACACGAGCTATGTTACGTTACGTAAAATGTGAACCGTCTGTTGTGAGAGACTGAAGTTGGTGGAACAAGGGCGTCACTGTACAAGACGTGCCTATTCCGTTTCTTTGCGTGTAAACAAAACGCGGTTATGAGGGCTTGACCATTACTATGGCAGTACAGTGTTAAACACACTTCACAATAAAATGGCTGAGGATGGTGAAACAAAGAATGAAGTCAGTTGGCAAGGACAGAGAGAGAGGGACGAAAGAGATGGTGTATATTTCTTCTTCTGGCGACGCGGAGCAGGGCAGAGCATGCCAGTGCGTCTGGAAGACTACGTATCAGCATTTCTAGAAACTATTTTGACTGCATGTAGCATCATAATCGATTTGTACCAACAATAAATAAATATTAGGTTCAATAACAGGGCAAATTGGAAATAGTGCGCTTGTGAAGTACCGTTAAGTGTCGTACAAGCTGGAGTTCACCCTTCGAATCTTTCCTGTCTACAGAGTAATTTCGACATGAGACAAACTTGTGGAATTAGTAGTACTTTTGCCTCTGTTATGAGTAATAGTTATGACCCAAAACGTCAATTCAGACAATTCCATCTCTCGCCACCAGGTACCGTGCGGTTTGGGGGTCTTACGAGCATCTCATTTAAAAGTCACGAAGCGCACATTCGAAACCACCCCCACCTCCACCGCTCGACGCCATTAACTCTTCATTGTTGTTAATATTGTAGCGATAGCACACTGTGAAATATATTCTTTACTTTATCTACTGCAGAATCCCTTTATGCAGAAGTGTAGTTAAACGAAATTAATATCAAACTTTCGAAAAATTTAAATAATGTGCTTCATAATCCATTAATTTCATGAAAATTTATTAGGAAATGAAATAAATGGAATGGACAAGTGACATGCGTGAGGAACTGAAAATGCATGAAAATTTTTAAACGGAATGCCTGAAATGAAGAGACCACTTGGGAGACCTAAGCATAAGTGGATGTACAATATTAAAGTGGATCGAAAATAAACAGAGTGGACTGTGTTATACTGGTTCAGAGAGGTCATGAGCCTTCGAGTTGAAAAAATATGGGGAATTTCATGACAAACTGAGCGACTGTCATATCCAGAAGACGTTTTCCTTGTTAGAAACTCTTTTTCAGTCCTCCTAATCTGCGGCAATCGCTAACGTTTTTGACGTAAATACGTCTATACGGAAGGGTCATTCGGCAAAAACAGCGTTACGAAGATGTTCATCACATTTAATGTTTTTATCTGCATTTGTAAAGTCTTCTTTCGCTTTTCTTTATTTGTTAAATAGGTCTGATGTTTTAGTTCTTTACGTCGCTGTTCAGAGGCCAACTGTTATTTGTCAGTCAACTTTCTACGACCAACTCCACCCTTGAAAATCTTCGTCTTAAAATCGATCATAAAGTCAGTTTTCGTAATCGTAATATATTGAATGAGTAGTATGCCGAGTAAACAAATGACGTAACAGAGTTTGATGACGTCATTGTTTGGCGACGACGACGACGAACCACGCATTTTATATTAAGAAGATCCGTCCGTCCATAACAACTGAAGTTGACAAACACAGCAAGAAAGAAACATGGATATTCGGCCTGTAATACAGCTGCTTTATGAGTTTCGGCATTAGATTTTCTCTCTCCGTGACACTCGCGTGTGGGTGTGAAAAGGAAGAGGGGACGAAGAACAGACCAAGTGAGCAGAAGAGGGACTCTCGGACGCATTGATTGCTGCTTGTCAGATGGCACTGGGACACGCGAACTTCGCGCTTGCACCGTCTTCGCGGAGCTATACAGCGTACTACACGCGAAACTTCATTCGCGAATAAAAATGTTTCCCCTTAAGAAGTATTAAATATCAAGAGAAACCGATAGACGAAAAACGCGAAAATATCGAGAAAGCAGCGCATTGCTCTAGTATTATAAAAAGTGCACAAATGTTGATAACGTATTGTTGTTGTCATTGTTATTATTATTCAATTCAGAAATGTTAATCATCATATCAGCTTTCTAGAGCACTGAAGATCAGCCAATACAAGAATAATTTCCCGTTATGTATGGGTGTGAAACACGGTCTCTTACTTCAAGGGAAGAACATAGTATATCATACGTGTTCGTAAGCAAAGTGCCCAAGAAAATATTCGGGTTAAAGACAAATCTGGAACATTAATATAACGAGGAACTACGTGATAAATAATTCGTCACTTAACGTTACTAGGGGAATGAAATTTAGGAAGTTCCGATGGGTCAAGCATGTGGCTGGGATAAGAGAATTAGGAAGGCGATATTTGAGCGAACACCAAGAAGACTAATCTTAGGAGATAGATGTGGTGAACTACTGAGGTGGACTGGTTGACTGGTCGTATCGAATTGTGGACTTCCGTATTAGCGGCACTGGTTCTGCTACCAGCAAGTTGCAATACTTTCCCGATTAAGCTCTGCGACTTTTATTTTAAACACTTGATGTAACGCGGCCATATTTAGCGGAATTTTTCTTTCTTTCGGTTATATCTGTCTTGTTGATTAGCTTCACAACAATTAGTTTATATCCGAAATAAATATTAACAAGGTTTGGAAAACAATTAAAGAAACCAAACATAAAATACTGTTCTACATTGCAATGACAGGCGCCTTGTTTCTCCCTCATCATTTCAAGGAAGTCGTGGGACGCGCTGTATAGCCCCACACCTGTTCAGGTTCCATGCTACACTTCTCATATCTCTATTTCTCTCTCCGATCTGCCTCAGGCTCTGTATTGCAGGGGTGTACAACGTCTTGAGAGAGCAGGCTACGTATATTAAGAAGTACATGGCACTCCATTTTAAAGTCTGGCACCTAGTGTTATAAATTACCGTTCTTTCATCTGTAATAAATTATTAATATTATTAAATATAACAATTAACTGAATGCACTGGCATGTAGGACACTTTTATATATTTTATCACACGGGCATGAAACATGTAATGAACGGGAAATGACCTAAGAAGAAGTAAGTGTCAAGATTTCGTTAACAAGGTAATGAACCCAATACTAAAGGGTTTGACGACGGTAGATTACACTTAAAATTATACATTGTCAGGACTTCTTCCATCGTCTATTCTTTAATACCCACGACAGAACCAGCCTCCGATACGTCGTGGCTTTTAAAGAATAGACGATGGAAAAAGTCCTGGCAATGAAGAATTTTAAGGTAATGAACGTTCATGTTCTATAAAAGGCGGGGAATTTATTGAACAGCCGAGCGACTATCAGCGGCTTACAAAATTCTCTAATCAATGAAGGTAGTTGGTTAAGGAATATAAATTTGGTTTCCCATAATTAAAAAAATTAATGCGAACCTCAAACAAAGGAAAACATTTTGTATACATCGGATGTAAAAATTACATTAAACAAATACAGTGGACCATCCATGTCAGAGTCTGTGTTTGCTGATGGCCGCTTTTGAAAGAAGGAACATGCATTAAAAGTTCAAACTGGGAAATATGGGGTCTTACGTCCTGTATAGTTCCAGAACAGACGGGCCACGTGATACTATTATGTATACGATGTGCCTTACTGTGACGCAGGCTGAACGAGCACCTGGTAACGAACCACTACTACAGGGCCGACCAGTACAAGTGCGACCTGTGTCCACGAGCCTTTCCTTGGAGGCCCAGTCTTAATCGACATCGAGCGGTCAACCACGGGGAAATCCGAAAATATCCCTGTGAGAACTGCAGCAGCGTGTTCACCGACCCAAGCAACCTACAGCGCCATATTCGAAAGCATCACGTGGGGGCCCGTTCGCACGCCTGTGCCCAATGCGGCAAGACGTTCGGCACGTCTTCAGGGCTCAAACAGCATACACACATTCATTCGAGTGTGAAGCCGTTCCAGTGTGAAGTGTGCTTCAAGGTAACACTGCATGAAGATGGCTGTCTTTTGGGATATTGCGCCATGTAGTCTGGTAGAAACTGAGCGACGTTTCCATCATGATGTTGATGAGAGCAGGCTACATGGCACATCGTCCCAGGAGATAGGCATCTTCATATGCGCCGCCGTGATAACTTTAGACTTCACACAGAAACACTCCATGTCCTTTCATATTACTGCATATTATTATTATTATTATTATTATTGTTATTATTATTATTCAGTGACTGGTCAAATGTCACTTCGTTTGAATGTTACAGAAACATATTCAATCCTTCATCATTCACCAATTTACCATTTAAATCATAACCTAGCTAATAGGCTCCGTGAACAGACCACACTACCCTGAATCCTGTCTGGCTGCCAAATGCACTGAACATGGCTGCTTCTGATGGTGAGCATTGCTTCGGCATTTAGGTCGTGCCTCTTGTTCCAGGCCTACACGCAGTTTTCGAACCTGTGCCGCCACAAGCGGATGCACGCAGATTGCCGTATGCATATCAAGTGCATCAAGTGTCGACAGTCCTTCAGTACTCTGACGTCACTCTCAAAGCACAAACGTTTCTGTGACTCTACTAAGTCATCTCCAGGAGGAAGAGGCGGTGCACCGCCCCAACCACAGCACCACCCAGTCCTGCCCCCCAATACCATGACCCATCTTCCGCATCCTCACCCTCAGCCTGCAAACAGCACCAACCCCTTCCTGATGTATTCTCGGCCACCAGCTGATCTTTCGTTTTACCCACAAACTCTTATCAGCCCTTACCCCCCAATCTACCCCCATGCTTCACCCCACTCACCTCATTCATTCCATAGTAACCCATTATTCTTCTCAACTGGACATCATACCAGACTTCTGGAGGATGATAACAAGTCCCAACACAACATGTTGCTTAGCGCAGATTGTCAGCTTCACCTTCAACTACGTAACAGCAATGAACGAAATCAGACGTCGCCTTACGAGAGGAACAACACAGAAATCTTGAAGAATGGACCACATCTGTCACCACCTCAACTTGCATCAGGTTCTAACAAAGTGCCACCACCCTCAGCTGATGAAGCTCTGACACACTTCCGACCGTCACCCTTGAGTGCAAGTGGAGGCTCGACGTACCCAAACCCCAGAGAATCTCTTCCTACAGCCAGAGAATACCCAATACCCGAAGATGAAGATAATGAACAAGGAAGTTTACCAAGAGACTTGTCTGCAGGAAGTGATGCTCGCACACCATCTCAGGAAAGAGACAGATTTGGTGAAAAGGAAGAGAAAAGACCAGGATCTGCAGGCAGTGCTAATAAATCTGAAGGCGAGGAACCACTGGATCTCAGAGTGGATTGCAAACGAAAGCGTGAGGAGAGCAATGACAAGGAGGTTAGTGTTAAACGCGGTCGATTTGTGTGTGTGACTCCTGCAAGGCAGAATGACAACAAATCAAAGGACGATGTCGGAAGTTCAGGAAAACGGCTGGCACCTTCTCCAGCTAGACATGACTCCCCACAAGGAGCCCAGCTACCTCCTCCACCACCACACCCATTATCAACACAGCTGTCAGAGAAAGTCCCATCTTCACTTGCTGTGACCATTTCACATACCATGGCCTATCCGCGTCCAATTCACCCCATGTTCCTTGAGGCCATGTACCGACCTTCTTATCCAAGTTTCCCACCTCCACCTGGTCCAGGCCATCATGAACGTCTTTTACCCCCTCCACCCCCTTTTGGAAGATATCCTTTTCTTGGGTCATTGGTTAATGGTCATATTGGGAACAGACAACCTTTTGACCTACTCAGAGCACCATTATCAAGTTTTGGTTCCAGTAAACCTTATGAAGATGTTTTAAGTCCGCATCACGCTGGTATCAGTGGTGGTGGTGGTGGAGGTGCTGGCAACAGCAGTGGCAAACTTAAGGACCGATATTCGTGCAAATATTGTGGCAAAGTGTTTCCCAGGTCTGCCAACCTCACGCGTCACCTGCGTACGCACACCGGGGAACAACCGTACAAGTGCAAATACTGCGAGCGGTCCTTCAGCATCTCGTCCAACCTGCAGCGTCACGTCCGTAACATTCATAACAAGGAGAAGCCATTCAAGTGTCCACTGTGTGAGAGATGCTTTGGCCAGCAGACAAACCTGGACCGACACCTCAAGAAGCACGAGGCAGATGACGGCAGTGGAGTGGTATCTGTAGCGGACAGTCCAGGAAGCAGCAATGAGAATGAGCGTGAGGATTCGTGGTGCGATGAAATACGAAGTTTTATGGGAAAAGTGACCAACAGTGTTACTGAAGATCACCTGAGCAATAACCTTATAAGTCTTCAGACGCATCTGTACAGTACTCCTCATATGTCCTTCCCCCCTGTGAATGCTGTGGTGCCGAAGGAAGATGAGGATTCTGAAGGCCTATCAGAAGAAGTGGCATCTCCTCCAAGGCACCAGGAAGACAGACTGAAGCTTCCTCCCTCTCAGAACTCTCTCATAGCCATGGAAGTCAGCCAGTCACCGGTCTCTTACGAAGTGAAAGTGAAGACTGAGAACCCAATAAAAGAAGAGCCTGCGACCACCAACAATAATTGCAATGAACAAGAGACCATAGAAGTCTCCACCTAGCGATAAGACACTTGAACAAAAATGTTGGTGCAGTCGGACAGAAACAATTTACGAAGTTCAAGTACATATTTTGCATATCACAAAAAGAAACATATTTACTGGACCAAACCAGTCAGTGTTCCAGTTAATTTAAGTTTATGAAAATTAAAATTGGATTGATTCTGATCTGGTTGCACCAACTACCAATCTGCTACAGTCAGTTTACGCTGTCATCTCAATCAAATAGTTCCTAGATTTAAAACAGAGGAAGGACTCTTGGAATCTGTTAAAAAATATTAAATTTATATACAAACTTTGAACATATGACAGGGTTACATGGCAAAATCATATTGGCTGCTATGCTCAGAGCCTACGTGTGAATGAAAGCTAATCTACAAATATAAGGTGTAAACAGGAAGTGACAAGTCTGTTTCAGAAAATTAATTAATTACAAAGACAAAAATCCCCGTATCTTATCACATAAAATGTGTACAAATGTGTTATGTATATACATATAGTGGTTCGAGTGTATTAAAAACAAATGATAGTCACTAATATAGCCGAAGGTAAATATTCCCTAAATGTACAAATCGTGGAAAGTGAAAGAAATTTGTGTTGTATGAGGGATTACGCATTGAAAAAAATAATGTCGTCAATACTGTGACAAAAGAGTACATATTAATACAGGCAATGGATAAATTCGCACAATGTTGTATTGTAAGATTTCATGTAGGTTAAAATTCCCTTATTGTACAATGTACATTTCTGATTTACCTAAGAGCACAAAATATCATCTTTAACACATTTAATGTGTTCATTCTAAAATAAGCTTAATATTTAACAAATCTAATAAATTAAATGGAAGAATAGATGAAGTAGTTTCAACAAAATAAGAATAATTTCACTACAGGCAAAGTTGTTCTTTATCCTATTGACAATTACGTACATCAGAACTACAGTTATACTCGTGGATATTTTGCATCCTTGTATGTTTTACAATAATTTGCCAAAGATTTTATATTATTGTTTGCAACTTTGTCTTCAAGGCAATAAGTTTCTTGCACTGAGCTGCTATTCATTTAAATCAAAGCATAATTTGCCTACTTTACATATAATCAATTTTCTGTTAATTTGTTCTCCTTTTCGCTTCGTTCGTTCAAATAAACCTCCAATTGGATTTGTATATCCTCTGATTACGATTATGGCATTTCATGACTTTTTCCTTTCTTAATTCATCGTTTAATGGACAATATCAAAACTTTTGCCCTAATAATTTCGTCGTCTCAAAACCCGCTAAAATAGATTAACCAGTTTTAAATATGTGCAAATATGATCTTCGGATTGTAAGTAAGTTACAAGTTTTTCATTTTAATATAAGAATTCGACCATAAAACTCACTTTAATAAATTATTTGTTTAATCAATAAGATCTAATTTCTTTCCGATCTTCAGTTAGAGAAACAATCAGTCATACCGAACTTGAGGACAATACACATTCCAGCCATGAACTGTCATGACAGAACAGTCCTGCATTTTAATTTGAAACTGCAAAGAATTTGTGCTCTTTTTCAATTCGTGAATAGTGTACGCTAATAAGACATCAAACCAGGTGCTGTTTACAGAGCAAATTAAAACATCGTGCAAGGCCACTTAATGTTTTCGTGAACCTGTCTTAAAGAGCTTTCTGTTTAAAGAGTTTCATTTCCATTTCACATGCCTCACATTCACAGGCTTGCTTCCTTCGATACAAGAACAATGGTGATATTTATCATTTAAAAATAACACAGTAAGATTTTTTCAAATATTTAATTATATACATTTTACCATCTTTAATATTTGCCAAGATATGTATCAAACGCACAAATATTACTACTTTGAAAAGCTCACTGGAGAAGTCTGTTAAGACTGAAAATTCATATTTTATTACGTATTAAGTGCATTATGGTATCTTAATACGAACCACTACTCAAGACAGCAGGGTACTTTAATAATACATCCATTATAATTTACGGTTCAGAACAGTGGCATTACAGTTAATAAAATTTAAATTTTTGTTTGTAGAGAAATAATTCGCTCATTAAATAAGCTAAATTAAGTAAATTTAAAACAGCAAATTTTTATCATTTTAATATCTAATGTGGTTAACAAAGAATAAGCTTTACACGTACTTAGAAAGGACATAAATTTTATTGATGAAAACTTAATGATTATTTAGAGATCATTCAGTTTAAGTGGTGATAATGATAATGATAATGTTAATCTTCCCTCATTTATCTACGAAAAAAATATCATGATCACATGTATGTGTGTGGATGAGTTGTGTCACAAATATTAAGTGCACACCATAAGCACAAATGTTTGTCACTGACCGCATTATCAGTCTTTCATTTTCTCGCTTCTCTAGAACAAATCTCATCTCGGACCATTTCGTATTTTCAGTGTACCATTTATCATCTTAAAAATTAATAACTATATATTGTTTAAATCTTGTCCGTCTAATCACAATAAATTCTTATTAAATATTAAAATGTTACAATAATTAACATTTAAAATGTTTAAAATATTAAATGATGTTCTTTATCGAAATATTCGATTTACATTAGACCATCATTTTTCACGACATGTTTCAGTTCCAAAAAGAACTATCTTCAGGTGTATATAATTATATAAAGCTTCAAAACGATAAATAATTCAAATACAATTTTCATACATTATGCCAGCGTACATTTTTATCAGATCTTTATCAGATATCGAACGATGTTATTTTCCAGATTTTATTCCATTTTAATAATATACTCGATGTTGTTCTGTATATATACATCATGCTCAATGTGACTTTAGTGTTGTTTTGTATCAGTCAGAAATGTTGTAGAGGAGTTTTACGTCTGTCTGGAAGTATTAAGAATTTATTGTGATTAGACGGACAAGATTTAATATATACATATCTTAGGTTAAAAATAGAGTTCCTGGAAATTGCTTGTGGTACAGTAAATTTCTGTCTCTTGAGGGAGGGCATAGGCGGCATTGGAGTAGGCGTGGGGGAATTAATTTACCGAAAGTACTACAATTAACAATATAAATAACAATTACTCTGTTTCATGTCATACGGGCGTATTAACAAAATGGCTGATCTACAGGAAACTAATTTCTTAAAACAGTGTAGTTGCGTCATATTGTGATTTATTAAATTAAAGTAATAAACCTTGATCGGATACGGTAATACTTCTGGATCACCTCCAGACACAACTGTGTTGTCTACTATTTCATCTCTGACCGATGTAAACATCAAAAGCATCACTTCAAACAATAAAGTTGATCCATTATATGAAAATATCTGGACACGACCTCCAAAAAACTACACTACGAAAAATTGTAAAAAA